CTACACAGTGTCTATCAAGGCTCCAATGGCATTCTTTAAAGTAATGGAACAAACAGTAATGAAATTCATATGGAATCACAAAAGACCCAAAATAGGCAAAGAAATTCTGGCAAAAAAGAGGAATTGTGGTGTTTCACACTCCTAGACTCAAACTATACTACAGATCTATTGTAATCAAAACAATATGGTACTGGCACAAAAACAGACACATATGACCAATGAAATAGAATTGAGAGTCTAGAAAGAAACCCAAACATCTATGGAGAGTTAATTTACCACAGAGGATGCAAAAATATACACTAAAAAATGGAGAGTATCTTCAACAAATGATGTTGGGAAAACTGGACAACTACATGCAAAAGAATGAAATTAGATCACCATCTCACATCTTACACATTGACTGAAAATGGATTAAAGATATGTAAGTAAGACCTAAAACCATAAAACACACATATCAAAGGGTATGTAGTAGTATTCAAAAACATATTAATAATTATAGTTCATTTTATTATAACTTGCCTTCACTCACAATTGGATATTTCATATTTTTATATTTCAATTCATTCATTGTTCATTCCTCAAATACTATTCCAACTACATGCTATGGTGAATAAAAGAAAGAAATAAAAAAATACATTTTTTGCCTTAAAGAAAATTTCAGAAAATCATAAAAATATAAAGAGGTAGCACTATATAAATAGGTCGTGGAAGACATGACCACTTCAAATTTGGGGTGAGGTAGAAGGACATTTGAAGATGGGGAAGATGGATGAACCGAGATGTAGAAGACAATTGTGGACCAAGTTTATTTTTGTGTTGTTTAGTGGGTGTGGTTTAAGTACTTTTATCTTAAAATCTGCTAGAGATTTGTATGTCTTTGGGGTGATTGGAAGTGTGGCTCTTTGAACATTGAGAGTAATACAATATTTGATGTGGTACTACTGAATGATGAATAGATACAATTGATAGAATCAGTGACATTCTTAGTTGTCATATTTAAGCATGGAATTTCATATTATTTTTAATTTCATGGTTTTTAAAGAGATTTTGAATAATACAACAGTTATATGGACAATAAACAGATTCTAATGACATCTCTTTAATTTTTAAATTTTCTTCACAACAACGTTTTTGGCAGCATGATTACAATCTATTGTATTATGATCAATTTGTTCTCTTGGCTTTATCTTTCTGCTGAATAATTGGCAATAGCAGATTAGTTATAAAGCACATCATCTGTTGTTTGACTTCTTATAGATGTGCAAAATGTTAAAATTCATTTTATGTAAAAGTCACAATCACAAAATATATTATTTTTGCAAGTCCTTAAGAAAATACTCTATTTCCCTCTAATATTTTATTGCGTTTTTCTCATTCTTAGTCACAAATGGCAGAAAGCAGTTCCAAATCTAAACTCATTTTTACCACAATCATGACATTTTCCAACTGTCTCATAAATTTGTGACATTTGTTAAAAGGGAGATTAGTAGAGCAAAATGTGTCACTAGTGCTGAAGAAAGTGGACGTGTGATAATTAGTGTGCCATCTTCAAAGACAAAATTAGTGCTTGAAAATTAGCATAATAATTGTTCCATTGAACAGTTATTGAGTGCCCACAAATGCCAGTCTATGTGTTGAGTGGTCCAAGTGCATTATCTCTTTATTCCTTATGATATTATTGCTAGTCCCATTTTTAGAGAATAAACCTTAGAAAGTTCTACATAATTTGATTATAGTCCAGTAGGTAATGAGTGAAGAACATGGGATTCGGAACAAGTCCTCTGAGGTACAGGTGTCGGTGTAAACCCTGTTAATACCCCTACTTTACAGATGAGAAAGATTAAGATTAGAGAAGTCAAAATAATTTGGATGAGATCACACAGCTAAGAAATGGAAAAACTGGTACTCAAACATAGGCTGTTCTACTCCAGAGCGTAGCTATATTGCTGCCAGTTTTTGCAGTAAATTTTGATATAATTTAAGTTGTAAGCATGCTATTTATATCTCCAATTGTTTTGATACAAAGGTAGCAAAATTCGGGCAGTAATGCATATAGATGTTAACTGGCAAGAGAGACAATGATGGCTGAGAGCCATAATTAGAGAAGCAAAGAGAATCTCACTTTATTCCATTTTATTATTTTGGGGCCATCACATCATAGCAAGTGTGTTTCAGGAGGAAGAGATTTTCCCTTCCTAAGTTTCACAATAAGAACATTTGCATTGATTTCCCAAAGTCAGAAAAGCAGTGTGTCAGCCAGAGGCCATGAACTAATCCTCTGCTAAGTGACCCAGAGTAAATTCATTTGACTAATTCCCTATTTGTATCTGTTACTGTACACTACTTTGTGGCCTGATGGAGGATAAGGATAGAAAAACTGGAAAGGAGGTGCCACAACATCAGAAACCTGGCTCACACAATGCCAAGAGCTGGAGGTGGAGGTAGAGGGATTAACACAGCCAATAACCCAGCAGTGGGAACTAGGATCCTTCGGCGCCAAGGCCTAGATCACAAAGCACAAGACCCATGCAGGTATCAGATGCTGCAGGGGGTCTCAGGAGTGCAGACCTGAAGGTGAAGATATAGAGATTGAGGCCATTGTAGATATCTGGCCCCTTTCAAATTCTACATAGTTTATTCATAGTTAACTACAAACATGCCACTTCATGAAGGAGTGAGCCCCTCCCGTAGAGGAGACTATATCAGTGCAGTCTCTGCACTGGCACAGGACAGCAGTCCTTCTGCCCGCCTGTACCTGTGCAGGTGCTCCTTTTCCCCACTCTCTGTGCCTCTGCAGGGCAGCAGCCTTCCTGCCAGCCCGTGACCTGTACCCTGCCGGGGCTTCTCTTCACTGACCCCCCTCAGCACAGGCAGCTCTCCTCAAGGCCGCCCGCCTGTGGCCATGCAGGCTTCTCAGCAATCCTGTCTCTTTCGGGGCAGCCCTTTCTGCCCGTTTGTGCCTATGCAAGTGTCCTTTATTCTTCTCTCCCTTTTATAATAAACCTGCCCTTTTGGATATAACTAACGTCTGTGTCGTGGAAACACTCGCCTGAGAATCGCAGGTGCTGGTGAAAGGGGAACTCTGGTGAAACCTTTCTCTGAGTGAGCGCAAGGACCGCACTCTCCAAAAACATCACGCCCTACTTATTTTTATTTTACCAAATCTTATTTTGCAAACCTTTAGTCTTGGAAATTTATTCTTTTTAATGAACTTGGAATATTCATAGATTTATATTACAATTTGTGGTATTGATTATGCATTAATTACATCATGAGATTCTTTTACTTTTAGGTATAGGGAAAAGGTTAAGAGGAAGCAGAAGCTGTTCATTTTGTTAAAAATCATTATATGTCAGTTATAAGCTAAGGAGAAGTAGGACAAATGAAGAAGCTTTTTAGTACATTTGTTAGAAAATTGTGTTTCAAGTCAAACTAGAATTTATAATTTTCCCAAGGCTGTTCGTGTATTACTATGGGAAAGGTCGTTGGGGTGTGTGTGTCTGTGTCGTTTCTGTGTCTGTGTGTAGCTGTTTTCCAGAGACAAAGAGTATGGTAATGTCTACACTTAGTATTGTTTGGCATTTAAAATAACAAGTTTGTGTTTTGCATAGAGACAATATTCAGATCTATCAGTCACTCCTATTGAGAGTGGTACAAAACAAGATTTTACATGCCAGCAGCTATATGTTTTATAATGTAATTTTGAGTTTATCTGAAAGCGATTAATTTGGAACTTTAGAACTTATTTATATTTTACATTGACAATGTTTTTTTAGCACATTTCTAAAAATATATATAACTCAAGAGCTTAAACATGTACATTCTAATACTTGCCTTCTTTTTATCTTATATTGGCACCTGGGTGTTCCCTTACAATAACAAAGCAAGGCCTGAAATTATAATTTAGATTTCATGAACACTTACTAATGAGATGCAAGTGTTAAAACAAAAATGTTAAATAAACTGCCATCAGGTGTTGGCTTGTATTCCTTCATCATGTGAAGGGGAATACTGTGAATGATGCTGTACAGTGGTACATACATTTCATTCAAAGACCAGTTGTTAATGTTTTAAGTTAATGCCAGTGAATCTTATAAATCTCTGTGAATAATGAAGCCATTCATTGTATTCAAGGATTTTGCCTTTCTTCAATGGTGTGATTTTCTTCTCATTTGAAAGAGTATTTAATTGCATCGCTCAACCACTTTTAATATTTAATAATAATTTTATTAGCTGTATAGCATGAGAAGAGCAGGATTTGCAATATCTGCTGCTGGTCATCAATTTTTTTCTTATCATGACTTAATGAATATTATAATTACAAGGAAAAGCAGAAATATAAATTAGCTTGCTAGTTGGTTGGGACTTGCTACTTTATTGGTTTTAGCTTGGGCAAAGCCCAGGATAGGCATGAGGAGAAACAAATATGAAAACCCTGGTATGGGGTTTCATCATCCCTGATTTTAAATAATGAGCACATAGAGTTTGAATAAAATTGTAAACACTACCGATAACAATTCCTGCAGGTTCCATAGCAATTGACAAGGGTTCTTGACAGGTATATGTTCCTTTAATCTCTGTTAATGTGAGTTTTCATTGGCTTCTCTTAATTATTTTTACTGTTACTTGCTTTCAGCTAAGACAATGCATGAGTTATTTTGAGTGGTAGTGCTTGGCATATTATCATAACAGCACTTTTTACTTAAGTTGCACCTTCTTACCTAATGTTTCCAAAGTGTATTTGATTACCTTTCACTAGGCTGATGGGATGAGGATGGGAAAATTCCTTTGTAGGCAACATACATTGAAAGCCTTTACAGAAGAATAACTCAAATCATGGGGGAGAAAACAATCTTCATTTTAGTCATCTAGATACAGATATGTGTATTAGAGGATTCTTAATTTTTGAGGGCCATTTGTTCAAAAATTGAACCAGATATTATTGAATTTTGTATGTTTTTAAACCTATTTTAAAACAAATCATTTTTAACCCCCTGCAGCAACTGCTTCGAGAACGACAGCAGATGGCCAGCCGTCCCTTTGCTTCTGTTGATGTAGCACTGGAAGTGGGAGCTGAACAAACAGACTTTCTGCGAGGGCCATTAGAGGTAGGAGCAGTAAGCTGAAAGGGTCCACTGCGATTTGCATATTTATATTGCTTCTCTAATCTGCATCTGCTTGTGAAGCCAAACAGAGTCTGATTATCGAGAGTTGACAAGATTCAGCTACATATGTTATGCCATTTTCAAGGCACATAGTTTTAGTAGTATGACATGAGCTGTAACAAAAGCCACTGGAGAATCTATTAGCCTAGGCAAGAGTGACAGACTGCTCACCTAACAGCCCTTCCCTGACAGATAGGAGCAGGAGGGATTTAAGACAGAGGTATTGTGGAAGAAACAAAGCACCTATATTTAGTCCCTGGAGTGCCCGATGCCCCTTATTTAAAGAGTTACATCTATCTTTATCAACAAAGTTGACTATTAAAGGTGAATGGACACATGAGTTGCATTTTAATTACACGGTTTCATTTCTTAATGTCGAGAAGTATAGAATATAGTGAAATTTTGGTGCGTGGTTAATGACTGTGTTAGTCTTTTATTGCAAATGCTGAAATAGAGTATGGTGAAACAGAAATCATTATGTGCAAGTAAATGTACAATAGAATCCCGATATAATACATGAAATGGTTTCTGAAAATAAAAGCCCCAAAGAAGAAAATTTCACAGATTGTGATTAATGACTAATCGGAGCATTTTGAGCCATATTAATTTAATTGTATACGTATTGTTTTTTATTTATATTTTGTACGTGGTAAGATGTTGAAAGATTTAAAAAAATGTCAAGTGGAGGTGTTTTATTTCCTTTTAAAAAATGCCCTTATGTGACTAATTTCATGTTGCTATTTTCAGATTTTGCTTTTCTTCAAGGAAAGCAAAGAATGTAAAACAGATGCCACCAAAAACCCTGGTACAAATATAATAGATTCTATCTGCAACATTTTTAGTTATTCTGAAAAAAAAAGTATCAGACCTCATGAATGCTATTCAAAGAGCCAGTTTTTAGAGAATAGTTCCCTATGAATTTTTTTTTTTTAGCTTTGTTTACTACTTTAGGTCACAGGTTGCCATGGAACTTAGCACCTTAGGAAATCTGTGTGTATGTCTTGCACCACGTGGGGAGAAACTAAGAGAGACAGAATAATTAGATCAAAATTTCATTGAGTATTCTCATTTCATTTTGATCCCTTGTTTGAAATAACTTTCAAATAAAACCATATCAAATAGAAAACTTCAACTATTTGAATCTAAATTCTCATTTTCCCCCACCGGTTTGAAACTTTTTCATATACTCTAACAAGCTAATAATAAATGAAATAATATATCCTTAATTAAGCCAAAGTAGAACAGGAATAATCAAAAAAACACATACACAATGGAATATTACTCAGCAATCAAAAAGATAAACTCATGCAATTTGCAGCAACATGGATGGCGCTGGAAGGGATCATGCTCAGCAAAATAAGCCAGAAAGAAAAAGAAAAGTACCGGAAGGTCTCACACATAGCAGGAATTTAGAAAACCTAAATAAGGGACCAGGAAAAAAGACTAATTATAATAAAGTAAAAATCAAAATCAACAAGCAACTATGAACCAGAGACACACTACGGTGTTTGGGGGAAGAAGGGAATAGGATCAAAACAAGGCGGGGTGGAAATTGTATGGGGACTATAACCAAGATGAAAGTGCATACAATGTGAAAAAATGAAAAATGATGTGAAAAATATATAAAATAAAAATATGAAAAAAAATAACTGGAAACTTGCAAACTTAAGGAACAAATGTCATTAACATAGTATGTGTCACTAGTTGTCAGTTGCTGTTCTCTAGCATTTATGACTGTGTTGTTAGATTTATAATCATCCTCTCTCCCCACCCCCCAATTTTATTTCCTTTGTCTTTGTGATAATTTGAACCTTAAATTTTATTCTGTTGTGTTTAAAATTTTCTACCTGTACATTTTTTAAATCCGTATTCATTAGTAGTTCAGTTATTCCTTGATTTCCAACCTCTCTGTATCCATTTGTTTTACACCTACCCTCATAGGAAGAATGGTCAGCTTTTTATTTTTCCCACTTTGTGAGTCTGACATTTGATTGGTATAGTTTATTTATTTTGACAAAAATTACCATTCTACCAAGGCTTTTCTTAGCTGCTCCATTATATGTGGTGGTGATGTTACTACCTTAATTCTTCCTGGTTCTTTGACCATATTTATTTTGGAAAAATTTGTTTTCACCTACTAAATTGAACATTACACATGCTATGTTTCTGATCATTACCCCTTATTATCAAGATTCATGGTGATGGTTATTGTTCTCTATCAATGTCTAAAGCTTATAAATACATATTCCTGCCCTGCCCACCTCAAACAAAATTAGCATTTAATCGTATTCCAGTTCCCTGTTCATTCCCGCCATGTTAATAATGCCTAGAAGTTTTGATTAAGATATTATGGATATACTTTTAACTTTATTATGGCGTATTTAAATAATAGTGAGGGTCTCCCAGGTGGCACAAGGGCTTAAGTCTCAGCACTGTGAAGCTATCAGCAGCCACTGCTGCGTGAGTTCTCCCTCCGGCCAGGGAGCTACCCACATGACTCAGCAGACCTCTCCTGACTTGCCTGCTGCTCCCCTCAGCAGTGTGTTTCAGTAGAAATGCCTGTTCTATTCCCCACTCTGTCTCTGGCAAATCCTCTCACCCCCCACAACTGTGGCCTACACCCCAGCTCTTGTATGCATAAATAAATAAAATTAAATCTTAAAAAAAAAATAGTGCGCTTTCTTTACTATCCCTTACCTTTTACATTTAGTTGCTTGCTCCTGCTTTTCTTTCATTTACCACTAGAGTAAATCCTCCAAAAGAAAAGAAATTCACATGGTTGTACTCTATGAGACTGTAAATGCTTACTGATATATTTATTTTGTCCTCATTGTAAATAGTAGTTTTTTAGATAAAAATTTCAGCCTCAGTGTTCTCTTTTTAAAAACTTTAAAGAAACTCCATTGTCTCAAGTCTGATGTCAGTTTGATCCTTTGTCCTTTGTAAATGATCATATTCTTTTTGGAATCTTTCACAAGTTTCTCTCATTTCTCAGGCTTCTAAAATTCTGTCTGAAGTGTATATACCCTCCTGTTTGGCACTCTGTGCGCCATTTAAGTCTGTAGGCTTGTAACTTGGTATAAGTCTGGCTGATCTTTGGTTATTCTTTCTTTAAATATTTCTTACTTTATTCTTTCTCCTGAAATTCCCATTACATTGTCCTTCATCCTCCTTTTATCATCCACATTTCTTTTATGTTTAAATTATTTCTTTTTAAATTGTGGTAATGTTGGTTTACAACACTGTGTGTGATACAGAGATATAGAGTTGCCACTTTTCAGATGTATGTCACTAAACCTGAACCACCCCCAAGTCACCCATCATCATGCACCATAGTCCATTGGGTCCCTTGAATCCCTGATTTCCACCTACATCCCTACCTCCTGTAGCCTCAACTCTACAGTCAGACCTGTAGGGTTTTTCTGAATCATCTAAATTTCTTAAAGTTTCCCTCATTATTTTCACTTTTTTATCTCTTCCTCTTGCCTCTGGGGATATTCCTCAACCAGTTTTACCATAAGAGTGTGTCCTTTCTGCTTGTAAACCCACTTGTTGACTGCAATTACATAGTTTGTGGTAAATACTTGTCTTGGTTTTCCTTCATAACTGCTGTGATGGCTTCATATTTTTAATACCCTTTCTCATTGTCCTGAAACCATTTATTAATATTCCATTTTTCTTGTGCTTTTTCCTACTTCTTTCTTTGATGGTGCTTGCATTCTTTACAGATTTCCTTTACTTTTTCCTATGTACACATTTTAGTTACTGATATCCACTTAGGAAGAGGGATAAAACCCTTGAGTCTAGATTGTGCTGTCTCAGGTAACTTAGTGGTTGGAGGTTAAGAAGTTGCCTGTGCTGTATAGTCCGGGCTTAGTCACTGCTGATGATTTTCGAGTTTCTCTCTACAGTCCCTTCCACTGTAGAGAACTTTCCAGTACCTTCCCCAGACATTATTCTCATCAGATGGTGAAATTTCCAGGTCAGTGGTTGAGGCTGGGCGGGAATGCTTAGGTGCTGTCCAACCTCCTGCATATAGCCCTAGTGCCACTCTACTGTTAATTGGAAACCATTAGCTGCACTGGGCTGCTTCTGTGGCTTTGCTGCCCTGCAGCAGGCAGAGGTAGGCTTTGAACCCTCCAGGACAATCTGGAATCTGCACCTCTCCCACTAGAGGCCAGTCCATATGCGAGGCCTAACTGCTTTCTACATTTCCAAGTGTTTCTCTGTGGTTTTGTATGAATTGATGAGTATGGCCTAACAGTCATCAAGTGCTCTGTCTTCTGTGTTCTCTCTGTTTCAGCTCAGGGGAAGGAACAAGTGACTCATGCTGGCTTGTCATTTGTTGGCTGCAGGATGTGCAAAGGCTTTCTATTCCACAAAGCTTTGCACTAATATTATATTCTAGTTCTGTTTCTCACTTTTATTACTCAGCTATATAAATAACTTATATGCCTCTATTTCTCTTGTACAACTTGTTTGCATTGAATTGCCAAAGAAAATTATTTAACTATATACTCTCATTTAAAAAGCCCCCTTTATCTGAGAATCAGGTTCTATTTATTTATTAATGTATAATGTTGGTTTTTTGGAAATAGTTTTACTAAAATATAATTCCTACACCAAATAATTTATTCATTGAAATTGTACAATTTGATGGGGGGTTGTATATGAAGAGTTAGGTAACCATCATCAAAATCAATTCTAGAGCATTCTCACCACCTCCATACCCTTTAGTTTAAGTCACCCGCTTCCCCCCTCACTTCCCCCCAGCCCTCTTCTTCAACTTCAGACAAGCACTGTTCTACTTTCTGTCTTTATTACATTTTCATCTCATTCCATGTAGATGGAATCATACAGTATGTGGTCTTTTTTGACTGGTTTCTAGTCTTTAGCATAATGTTTTCAGGGTCATCCACATTGTGGCATGTATCACTACTTATTGCTGTAGCTTATTCTATTGTATGAATTTAACATATATTATTTATTAGTCATCAGTTTGTGGTCATCTGGTTTGTTTCCATTTTTTGGATACTCTGCAAAATACTGCAATGAATGTGTGTGAGTTTTCATGCAGGCATGTTTTCACTTCTTTGGGGCATGTAACTAAGAATGGAATTGCTGGGTCATAGGATAATTTTTCATTACTGTTTGAGAAGACTTTCTTTTCCCATTGAATGATTTGGGCATTTTGTTAAATATCAGTTGACCATAAATAGAAGAATTTATTTCTGAACTTTCAGTACTGTTCCATTGATATGTCCGTCTGTCATATGGCAGTACCACACTGTCATATGTTGACTATTGTAGCTTTTAGTAAGTTTTGGACTTGAAAATGTCCAGCTGTGCTCTTTTTGAGGATTGTTTTGGCTCTTCTGGGTCCGTTGGATTTTCACATAATTTTATAGTAAGTTTGTCAGTTTCTACAAAGAAGCCCAGTAGTATTTTGATAAGGATTGTGTTGAATGTATAGATCAGCTGAGGTAATTTGTAGTATTTTATTTTATATTTTTTTAAGATTTACTTATTTATGCATACAAGAACCTAGGGTACAGGCCAGAGGTGCAGGGGTGAGAGGATTCACCAGAGACAGAGTGGGGAGCAGAACAGGCAGACTGACTGAGATACACTGCTGAGGGGAGCAGCAGGCAAGACAGGAGAGGTCTGCTATGCCATGTGGGTCACCTCCCTGGCTGGCCAGGGATCAAATTCGTGTTGCAGAGGCTGAGGATAGCTTCACAGTGCTGTGCTTTACCCCTTGCACCACCAGGGAGGCCCAATATGTAGTGTTTTAACATTCATTGTTAAAGTGGTACTTTTGTCACCTGACTACCTTCATGTTCATGTTCAATATCAGAGTTCCTGCGTCTTAGCAAATAATTATGATATCTGATATTTAATATTCCCTAGCCATATATATATATTTATATACACAATATTATATCATGTAAGTCTACAACTTAGAAAATGTTTCAATTCAAGTTGAAAAGACTTATTCAGCTGATTTTTTGAGCTTAAGGTTTTTGCTTCTTCCTGTAAAAATTAAACTTCAGGAGTAAACCTTAGAGCTAACTACTCATTTATTCCTTTGACGTACTCAGAAAACAATAGAAGTAAAGGCATGATATTTAAGATTATATTGTATTTTCTACTTTGTTAAATTTTTTAGTATAATTATGAGTAAGTATTAAGTTTTCTACCTGATTACACACACACACACACACACACACGTGGGATTTATTTTCCATTGTTATGTACACTAGAAGTTGCTCCAAATCTCTCTCTTTTTTATAAATATGATTTAGTAGTATATGATTTATTACTTTGCTAACACAGTGACTTCTGAAACCTAGCCTTTTCCAAAATCACATTGAAGATTTTATTTAAATCTGAAAATAAAAGCAATTTTCATTTTTCTCATCTGGATTTGCTTAAAAATAAGTATTTCAATTCAACTTAAAGCCCTGGGTTAGTTGACTATTACTATTCTGTGAATATTTTTTATATTCATAGTGTCATAATTGAAGGAATGGATTTATTTTCAATTAAGTGTTACTCTTATGTGCCGCTAAGTTCCACATCTGTGCACACAAGGGGAGACTATTAGGTGCAAGAGGAAATGAGATGCTTTGTCTTATTCTGTGAGGTAGATATATTCCTGAAAATATTTATGTTGGTTACATCTTTAATAAATAAGTAGTAGTGATTCCTTACAGAACTTACATATAACATTCTAAAATCCTAAATACATACCCTTTTGTGAGTGGAAAATATTATAATATGGATGATCATCCTCCAAATTATCTATTAACAAATCTGAGCTCTCTTTTTTTATATTATGGTGACATGTTAAAGTACATGATAAAATTTCAGTAAAGGCTCTTACAATGTGAATTTATATTATTTGGTTTTAAAGCTATCTTAAAAAGAGGATTACTTTTTTTAGTAATTATGTGATCCATAGTATACAGTTGTCATTTTTCTTGCATCAAGCAGTAACATGATAATATGTGGTACTTGTTCAACAGATTCTTATGGTCTGCTCCCTATGCGTCTAGCACTGTTCTAAGCATATGAGAGACCTTTGGTAACACAGCAGAACACCCAGTCCTAAGGGACTTGAAATTCTAGTAGGGAAAAGTAAATTATTTACTATGAAATGCAGTAGAAAAAAGAAAAAAATAAAGCAGGATAAGGATTTGGGGTGTGCTTTATGGAGGTGGGGAGTGTGTATTAAATAGGATAGTAGTAGTTGGAATCACGTCATTGCAGAAGTGAGATTTGAGCAAGCCTTGAAAGAGGTGAAGTAGTTAACCAGCCAGTAGATTCCCAGGGAAAATGTGTTCCAGGTGAAGAGAATAGCTAGAACAGCATCCTTAGGGTGTGACATGTCTGGCAAGTTCAGGGACCAGCAAGAATGGGAGGGACAGGGAGGCTGATGATCTAGGGTCTTGTGACCATTGTAAAGACCGACTTTCAATTCTGAGTGAAAAGGAGAACCAGCCTCCAGGTTTTGAGAGACAATTGACTGTCTCTCAAGCAGTCATAACCTGACCGCTTTTAAAAGGATCACTCTGACTTCTGGGCTGAGAATAGTTTGTAGGGTGATGTCTTCACATGTTTCCCTGAGAAACATCTGCTGAGACATGATGTTTATTCATTTGGGATTGAGGAATGTGCTGGTAGGGAAGTGGAGCCTCGAGAAAGGAAATGTATGGCAGTCTAGACCTCTGCGAACAACCAGCCTTAATCCTATTGGGGAAATTCTGGGAATCAAAGCAAAGCACAGGCCAGACTATTTGACCCCAGAGAAAATGGAGTTTAGCATTTGTTCCCTAGTCCCTTCAGGCACTAATGGATGGCCATTTCCTTGAAGACCAGAGAAGGAGTCCTCAGGCATAAAACACAAGTTTTGGCATTGGGATTCAGCAGGTAAACTGACCTGAGAGATGTTAGGGGTTGTGGGTATCGACCTACAGTTTCTACTACTAGGGACAAGACACAAAAGGACAAATTAGGAGGCCACTGTCGTAATCCAGGTGAGAGATGGTGTGGCAAGACCAGGGTTGATAGCAATAGACGCAATGGGGAGTGGCCAGATTGTGTACTGTATTTCGAAGTTTATTATAAACATAATGCCTCCATTTTGAAATTCTTAACAGTGACTTTGTAAGATCCAAACAGAGAGATAAGAAATCATTTTCTCTCTTTAACTGGCACTATAATAGCCCTGGATCATCTGAGGTTGTTCTATTTCTTCATTGAAATTCACAATGGCTCCATCCTCTCTCAGCAGATCCTCTCAAACAACAAAATATGTGCTTTTCTTAAGTAACTAAGGAAAACCATGAAACACTGAGGCAAAGGCACCTAGTGCGCCTTAAGTGGCTTAGATTGGCTGTGCTTGTAAGATGCTGTGAGCGCGTAGCATACAAATTGATCACAAACACGTTAATTTGCAGCCCTTTTGGTTGAAATGATAATGCTAAAAATGTACATTCCCTGTTCATGTTTTTTTTAGGGGGGTGGAAGTAGAAAAAGGGGAGGGAGTTCTCAGTTTTATAAACTTATATGAGTCCTTAAGTGTCATCGACAGTTTTTGCTAGAATGTTATTCTTTGTTTCTACTTTTATTTCTAATTAGTTTTTTTGCCAATTATTCTTACCTTGCTGCTTACAATACTGAAAAGTTAGAAATCAACTTAATGGCCAAAAAGAAAAGATCTGGTAGTCAATTTATTATGTTCAAAATGTTATATATGTTGTGATCTCATTTTTGATAAACATAGAACAGAATTTACTCCAATAAATTTAGTAATGTTTGGGTAGTATATAAGGGATATTATTTTTGTATTTCTGTTTTGTCCTTTATGTAATGGCATGTACTGCTTTTTTTAATCAGGAAAGTATAAAAGTAACAATAAAGTGAAAATACAAAGTGTTGGTTATTTTTCCCTAAATATGAGACACTTCTATGTATATGGAAGAACCACCTCTTAGTTTCACTGATATTTTGGATTTCTATTTCATTAATTCCACTCTATTTTTATTATTTCCTCCTACCAATTTTGGGTCTTATTTGTTCCTCTTTTTCAAATTGCTTTAGGTATATTATTAAGTTGGCTGTTTGGGATTTTTCTTGCTTCTTAATGTGGGCATGTATTGCATTTTTCTCCCTGCTTGAAACTGTTTTTACAGTACCCCACAAAGTCTGATAGATTGTATACTCATCTTCATTTGGTAAATCTGGGGTAATTTTTTATTTAACTTTAGTCCAGTAACTATTAAGCAGCATGCTATTTAGTCTCCATGTAATTAATGTTTTTCCTTATTTTTTTATATTTGATATCTTGCTTTATGGCAAGATTTCTAACTTCAGAAAGAGCTCTTAGTACAATTTTTCAATCTTCTCTGATGTCAGGAGGTGCCCTTGAGTTAATAACAGTGGAAGGGCTTCTTCTAGCAACTACTCTTCCTCCATGGGTTTTACAGACCGGTACCTCACTAGACACATTTTTTTTTTTTTTTTTTTGGTGGTTCCCTCGCCAGTGGCCGGGGATCGAACTGGCGATGCAGAGGCTGCGGGCAGCCTTGCAACCCAGCACTCAACTGCTGCGCCACCAGGGGAGGCTCTCTAGACACATTTTAATTGCACTATTTCCTTCTCCATTCTATTTGGTTTTGAGGAGACCTGAATTTCTTTCCTGTATATAGGTGGGATCTATTATAGGCATGCATATCTTCAAATGTTAATTTCTCCACAAACATGTATACATTGATATTAGCTAAGGGAATATTTTTAAATAATACCTACATGTGTCTATAAAACAAGAATAAGGTATATCTAATATGTACCTCTAAGCACATATTAGATGCAGAGGATATATATGTGCCTATAAAATAAGAATCTAGAAGTGTAACTTTGGAATGTCTTCATAAAAATATCTTTGTGAAATAGTGGTATGTGTCCAGATTCTTATGAGACCCTCTTTAATGAAGTAACTCCATTAAATAAAAAGTAAAATATTAAATATTAATTTTTAACTTGTATAATAAATAAGTATACATACAGTGAAATAAATGATATCATCCAGCCTTCACAATTAGTGAACTTGCTTCACCTCTAGCCTCTCTTTGTCATCCCACCAGTGATTATTTTAAAACAAATCGCAGACATTGAAGATTAAATTTGAATTTAATCTGAGTTTTTAAAAGTTAGCCAGTTTTGAAAGTAATTCTTTCTAAGTGTTTAAATTTTAAAAACAAATTTCTAGTATTTATCTTTAAGGTTTTATTTGTCTTTTGGTTTGACCTATTTATATATAAAGCATAAGGTATTTCCTGGATATGTTATTCCAGGCATTTATTCAATAAGCAGTGGGAAATCATCACACATAAATGGGAATGGAAACTCATTAGGTGAGATTGTTTTACTTTATTAGCATACTGTGTGTATAGTTTCCTTAGTAGTTGTATAGACATTAAATTATAAGAACTGCAGGTTTTGCTTAATGGAAGGTGCTACTTAACAATATAGGTCATTTGATTTATTTTTTATTTACTATATTTTTTAAATTACTCATTGACTATAATTCTGGAGTACTTCCTTAATTCCTATTATAATACTGATCTACTTTTTCTCACTGATAATCTCAACTGAATTGCACAGCCAGCTTTAATTAAGAGTGAAAAAAGAAAAAGAAACTCCACATCATTAGAAATTCTGATTTTTGCCAATCTAACAACAACAAAAAGACCACAAGCAGTGTGAGATTTGTCAGATGTGAGGAATGATAACCAATCATGTTAGGGGCGCCTATAACAAACTACCATAATTGGGGAAGTAACCTTGACATATTTCAGTCCAAGTATGAATATCTATAGTTTATTATATTCCAGACAGTATCCATTATCAAAGATGTAGGGCCAAATTAACTTTAATGTTGCACTCTTCACAAGACATTCCATAGCTAGCAATAACATTAAGATAATGCTGTTAAAATAAGAATTTCAATTATAAGGCAGATGAGACTGAAAAACATGACAGCCTTAATGAGCAGTAGGAGTTGGTATTCACTTTGATAAGGAACATAGTTATCAGGGATAGAGAGAAACAAAATATAGCCTGCAGCCTTTTCCAATTGTGTCATGTCACCCTGTGTTGGTAACAGCTTTGGGTTCAAATTCATTTCTCTTCATTCTCCCATCAGTTGCAGCTAGAACATCTTCAATCTATGTAGTGCTTCGGTCTTCAAAATAACTGAAACAATTTTTTCTTATTTGTCCTCTTAACATCTTTATTAAGAAGGGAGGGAGTCAAGCTGTTGGTTCCTTCTTGAAGCTGGGAAAACTTGCTCAATGATGCAATGGTAAAATTGGAGTAGATCCCAATTATTTGAAAGACCACGAAGGGCTTTGTAATAGGTGACTGAGTTTAAACAAGTCATGCGTAATCAGTATGAACCAAGAATAATGCCATTCTTTGTGTTGTGTTAGGCATGCCCTTGCTTTGACTTTTACAGAGGTAAAAAGAAAAGGAACTTAGTGAAGACCATTGGTGAGGAGAAGAGGATCAGAACAAGGTCAGAGGAGAGAAAGGCACCATTGATAGCAGTCTGTTCTTTGTAGACCCTCAACATGGAGCCACCCCTCCAGTGGCTTTCCCTTCGAATTGGTTAATAAAGCCTGTGAGTCATGCACAGTGTAGTGTTATTGTTCTCCTGGTGCGATTTAGCGCAGAAACCAGTGCTTAGGCAGCTGGCAGTGTTACAGCATACTCTTGCCAGTCCTGAATCTTCAAGGCTGTTCTGTATGAGTAAGAAGGCTTAAGAGGCGGTCCTGCTCCTCTGATCTATAATTCATTAAATTAGTGTTAGTGATCAATTACATCATTTTTACCTCTGTTGTAAATTGTTAGGGATTGAAGTTTCTTCTGGTTCTTTTTGTGGATTTTTTCCATTTCATGTGCAAATGTGAGTCTTTTCTTTATTTTACAGAAAAAGCTATAATTTTGGCTACTTTTTAGACCTTGGGAAATCTTTTCGGCTCTGGAAAAGACTACAGATGATTTTGGTTTTAATTTACCCTATATATCACTATTCATTCACCACTTGTATAATTGATAAAAACATTTTCCTCAATTACTTTATAAATACATTTCTCAAAAGCATTTTTGTCCATATTGCTTGCTGCAGAGCATGACCAATTTTCATAGTCTTTACTACAATATGCTGTATAATACCCTTAATGTTGGTGCTGTCTACTCTCATATTTACTTAATCTATCATCAAAGGGAGCATGGTTGATGCCTCTAAGTGAGCCAATCGATTATACAGCATTAGGTTTAGCTTCCACAAGCAGAAATCTCTTTTCTCCCTTAGGAACCTTAATTCTGGAAATGAGCCTTTCATCTAGATTCAGAATGTTCATTTATTAAATGCAAATGTATTTTGGCTTACATAATACATATTTAAATGATAGATTTATAGAGTAACAATAAAATATATGACATTTTATTAGCGTCTGTGATGGTTTTAAATATAATCACAGTGAAACTGGTTTAGAGTGTAAATGTAATGGCATATCTTTCAAGATGAACCACAGATTTTATTTTTTTTAATTTTTTAAAAAGATTTATTTATTTATTTATTTATATAAGTACTGGGTACAGTCAGAAGCGTGGGAGGGCGAGAGAATTCACCAGAGCCAGAGCGGAGAACAGAACAGGCAGACTGACGAAGTACACTGCTGAGGGGAGCAGCGGGCAGCAGGAGAGGTCTGTGTGCCATGTGGGACCCTCGCCCAGCAGCCAGGGATCGAACTGGTGCTGCAGAGGCTGTGGGCAGCTTCGCAACCCAGCACTCAACCGCTGAGCCACCGGGGAGGCCCAAACCACAGATTTTAAATGCAGAATTAATAATCTTAAATTAATCAGATGACTAACATATTTACTAACAAGCCAAAATATAATACCATATTTATTGAGCAGTTTTGCTAAACAGATCTTATATATATATGAAAACATAGTGGATTCCAACCATATTGTTGTCATAAATTCATATTTGTATTTTGTACTATCTATTTTATTTTCTTTGGCCTCCAAGACTACATCCTGAGAACAAGGAGGGGTGGGGAATCCACAAGTTTGATAAATTGAAATGTCCAGAGAAAGTGCTGTTCAGTATGAGTTTGGTCAGAGGCTAAGGACAAGCCTGGAAGAATCCCTCCTTCTGCTTAATGTATCACCCAAGCTGAGTTCATTCATCAGTGGCTCCATCCCTTCCCCTAGAAGACAGGGACAGTAATCCCTGCCCTCGTGGTGTTGGGAACATGAATTGAGATATACAGGTGGTAGCTGATGTATTAATAACATTGTCAATAATAAAAATGTTCAGGTTACCTTAATATAAATCCATGTTACGTTTCTTATGTGTTCAGCATGCTAAACCAAATTAGTTCTTTTTCCAACTGTACTAAGTATAACAGAATCAAACTTTGTTAGAACTTTTGTCATTACGACATCAATAAGGATCTATTTGTATCACAGTTTAAAGACACAGCCCAGCAGCCCAGTGTTAATACTGGAATGCTGGCCAGACTTGGTTCCCTTGTGCAGTAAAAGGAACAGAGTTTGAAGGGAACATTGAGGAGGGCAGCACACTCGTGTGCAAAAGGCCACCGTGCTGGCAGAGAGTGGTGGTGTTTATCTAAGTTACTAAGGAGTAGAGGGCGGGAGTGAGCAAGGGTCAGCATGTCCAGCCCCCTGACTCAAGCATCTGTAGATTCTATTCGATGCCAGCTGGCTTCTGCCATCATCTGGTTGTCTGTGGTTCTGATGTTACCTTTGTAGTGAAGCTCTTTTCCCTGGGAATGTAAAAGAGCAGGCTTTATTAGGCCTAGAGGGAAAATAAAGGAAACGAGAGCGCTTGTCTGGTGGGACAGAGAGAGACATGTGCTTGTTTCTGCCCACTGCATCCTCGTCTCTGGGACGGCTCAAGTGAGCTCAGACACACCATTTTGAAAATGAGGCCTCAATGTATTGTCTCCTTCATGCTGTTCTGTAGTCAGGCTGAATGTGTCCCATCTTGAGGAAATTGGCACTTTAAAACAAATTTCTGTTTAGGTTTACCCTTATTTTTACAGCAGAGTTTCTCAACTTGGCACTGTTAACGTTTTGAACCAGTAATTCCTTATTGTGGGGGCTGTCCTGGGAGTTGAGGTTGATAGCAGCATCTGTGACCTCTGCTGACCAGAGACCAGTAGCACCCCACTTCTCTTGTGACATCACCAAAGACTCCATACATGGCTGAGTGTCCCCCTGCTGGGTAGCCAGGGCACATTGTGAGAACAAATGTGGGCTAGCCAGTGAGAGCCACTGCTTTCAACTTCACCACATCAAAATTCTAATTAGGTTCTGATTAATGTGTTTTATTTTATGATTAAAAAAAGCAAAGATGATTTTAAGGTATTTTATGATGTAGTCATTAGGGTTCTAATCATGAATATATTAAATTGTTCTGATAAAAATTCACAGAAACATAAAAGTTAGTTTGTCACACATACATGTGTGTATTTATTTTTTTACGTTAGTACATGCAGTATCATTCCACAGACTTTTTTCTATAGTACACGATCATTTCCACCTTCTAAAAAATGACATGAATGAAAGATATATTTATTTTTAATCTTTTTGATATTAAATTTTAAATTAAAATTACTCGTAACTAATTCTAAGTACTCCTAAATACTATATCTAGAAGATTTTGAAATATTGAATAAAGCAATTTGTAACTTAATTGTATTGCTTATTAGGGCATATCATCATTTTCTATTATCCTATTATCCTGACTGAAAGAAAGATAAATATAAATACTGGCTTATCATTAGTGCAATTAAGCCATTGAATTTTAAATGCTTTTTTGGGGAAACAAAAGTCTTTAATGTGTTTAACATCAAAGTTTCTTATTAGCTATGAGTAAAGGAAATTCTCACACATGCGCACGCACTTGCACACACACACGCACACATGCATGCACGCACGATAATATATAAGAAAAACAGAAGAGAGTGACCGAAATTTTTGTTCTCCTTGTCTGAAAGGTTGTAAAGTGGTAAGCAGTGCCAGCAGAGCATGAAAATGACCAGTAATTCCAGAATAAATTGGACAAGGTATAGTTTGTTGTATTTTTAAGTACTGAAGGCTGGTCAATAGCTGCACTCAATTTGCCGTTGTTTCCCCACGGAAAGCTCAGTTTGTTAGCTTTAGGATAGGCTCAGTCAATGGATTCTTTTTTACTAAGAGAAATGATCCATGGGAGGGCCCCGAGGGGAGAAGTCAGGAGGAAACACAGCAGCCTTTCATGCCACACAGCACACCCGGGAAGTAAGACTCAGACCTATTTGAGGTATGGTTTCAAAGACGGTGCTGTTGGGGCTCTTTAAAAAAAAAATCAATTCACATTATCAAAAGAAAGCTGAAAATGATAGCAAAAGGCCGTTTTATTAGAAAAAATTTTTCTGTTATAACAACACATTATTTGAAGTGGTTGACATTGCCTCAGATAATTCTAAAACGCCTTAAAGAAGACAATCATTACACTTTGTGTAAGTTTCCCTGTTTGTAGGTGGGTCATCTTTGTCATCTCCTAGGAGAACACTTTGAGTGGTGGGGGAGACACACAGACTGGGCAGTGAGAGAAGCAAAAACATGCATTCATTAGTAGTGTGTGACCTGATTTCAGAAAGGGATGCAGCACTTGGAGACCCTATATGTGTGTGGATAAGACACAGGCCCCAGATGCCTTTCCCCTGTGAGACATTGTTGAAAATCACATCCCCTACTTGGACAGACAGGGTTGAAAAGCAAGGCCCTGTTAACAGTGTTGTTGTCATTGTTAACTGTTTTCTCTATTCGCAATGAGGAATGAAGATGAGTTACAGTGAAAGGGACGGACAAAAGAAAAACACAGTTTCCATTGTTGTTGCTGGTTTTACCCCCACCCACCCCCCCTTTTTTTTTTTTTTGGAAGAGTTGCATTTCAGAATAAACTTCAGTCAGAGGAACTTGGTTGTAAACCCTAGCCTTTTCTCTTATGTTTGTCTTACAAAGATTAATTCAGTTCTTTGAACTTTGCTTTATTAAACAGAAGCAGGCACAATAATGTCTAGCCCAGGGTTGTTGTGAAGATTAAATAAGCTTAAGTAGGTAAAATAGCCAACATAAAACCTGGAATGATATAGGGGCTCAAGATGAATCTTTCTTTCCCTCTGGTTTCCTTTCTCAGAGAAGATGGAAGTTTCCAGGACACTGTGGACAAGCTTTTCTCATTCTTAGATACTTACAAGAAGTATCTTAGGGCCAGTAATATCACAATACTCAGAGAATTGAGCACCTACTTCATGTAAGAAACCTGGAGATGAACTGTAGCCTTGAGAAGCAGTTGGATTGCCCAGCCCCAAAAGAACCTTTGCTCCTCAAAAAAAAAGAGTAAAAAGCCCTTAATTTCCTTCTTCCTTCCTGTTTTGCAAACACTTGGTAGATAAGTCACTAAGCCCTGGCATTGTGTTCTCTGGCTCTCGCTGCAGTGATGGCTTCCTCAAAAAACCTGCCTGGGTTTTGGGCAGATTTCCAGAATTTAGGATTTATGTGCCCTCATGACTGAAAATAGAGAGAGGAGACAGAACTGACAGATTAATTGGATGCAGAAAATCCAGTACTTCTGAGCTAATGATGAAAAAGTCAAGATTAAGGATTCATAGGATAATCAATTACTATGAGAAGAAACAACACAGCAGCAGGATTCAATATCTGCAGAAAGTCAGGACTGATCAATTCTTTTTTAAAAGATCAATTTAGAGGACTGAAACTTATCATTTAATTTCTCTTAATTGTAACATGATTTGGGGAGAATGTTTTCTTTTAGGTGCCATGAAAACTAAACCTCCCCAGAAATCCTGTGAAAATACTATATAAAATAACAATGTTAAAAAAATTACTCCATACTGTAGATATTGATGGAAAGTAACTCAATCATTTATATTGAGAGATTCTAACTATGGAAAAAAAATTAAAAATTAATGTAAACATTTTAATCATTAAAATAAATCATTCTTTAACTGATTTACTTTTGAATTTCTTCAGTGGCTTAGAAAATGGAAGTTTATGATTTTTAAATCATGTTTAAATATCTTTATAGATTTTTACTCAAATTATTGAAATATTCCTTCTCAAAAGTTAGGTCTGTACAAACATTCATACATAAACTATATTAAAACATACTCTTTACTCAAATTTCAAATAGATTTTAATAGTTTATACAGATTATTATAAAGATTATTAATACAATATTCTCATTCTTACCAACAAGCCTTTTGTTTGGTGAACACATTTTAGTCCTATTATGTATGTTGTTTGTATCAAAGGTTAGGATTCACAAATTATTTATTCATCATCAAGAATATTGATTGAACAACTGTCTTAAGCCAAGAGTAGTGCTAAGACGATTGAACAACTGTCTTAAGCCTAGAGTAGTGCTAAGACTGCTTATGAAAAAATGAGTAAGGGACCTCCTTAGTGGCCTAGGGGTTAAGACTCATGCTGTCACCACTATGGCCTGAGTTGGATTCCCCGGCCAGGGAGCTGACCCACATGGCGCAGCAGACCGCTCCTGTTTCACCCGCTGCTCCTCTCCGCAGGGTATTTCAGTAGATCTGCCTGTTCTGTTCCCCACTCTGTCTCTGGTGAATCCTCTCACCCCCCACACCTCTGACCTACACCCCAGTATTTTTATGCATAAAAAAACATAAATCATTAAATAAAAAAAGAAAAACTGAATAAAACTCAGGTCACTCCCCTAAAGTGCCTCTGGTCCATTGAGGAAGAGACAGATACTGGTCCTTATGGCATAGTAATGAAGAGATGTACATATTCTCTGGGAAAGCATCAGAGAAGTGGAGCAATTGTTTCCGTGAAAGGGCAGTATTTGAGCAGATCTTGCAATAAAAAGTCAGACCATCCTGGTTGCCTTCCGGCAACATGGAGTCCAAGAGGAATGGTGGCAAGAGAGAAAGGGAAATACTGGACAGTCACAAAGAGTCTGGGTCTTGTAGCCAGGGAGGAACAGAAGACTAAAGTAGATCTGTCTGTGTTTGGACAAACATCTCTGAGGATCTTGTGGAGAAGTTGGAAGAAAAGAAACTGAAGGCAGAGAAAGATGTTAGGAGGCATCAGGTCAGAAAAGAAATTGGAATAAACTGAGGTTATTTATCCTTTTATCTGTTTGTTCATTCACCAACTATTTTATTTCCAACTAGTGGCAGCCATTTTTATAGACAGTAGAGCTTCAGCACTGAAGAAACAGCAAAATTCCTGTGTTGATGTATTTTATACCCCAGGTGGGAAAGGTTCTAGTTATTCTTTTCATCATAACTCTAATTGTTTCTCCAGGACAAAGGTGATTTCTAAGTAAACCTTTGTTTCATGTTGTATTTTTAGTCAATTAAGAAACCATCATGTGTTTGTGATATATGTATAGATGTACATAGGTAGATACATAGATAGCTAAAATATGTATAAGTATATACATATTTTATATATATACACACACAGTATTCATTAGTATATGTATTTTTCAAAGATTTTAGTTATTTATGCATACAAGAGCTGGGGTACAGGCCAGAGATGTGGGGAATGAGAGGATTCACATGAGACAGAGTGGGGAACAGAACAGGCAGATTGACCGAAGTACACTGCTGAGGGGAGCAGTGGGCAAGTCAGGAGAGGTCTGCTGTGGGTTGCCCCCCTGCAGGCCAGGGATTGAACTCATGCTGCACAGGCTGTGGATTGCTTCATAGAGAGGTGCTTAACCCCTTGCGCCACCAGGGAGGCCCAGTATATGTATTTTAAACCTTCTATAGTGTGAAAATACTACTAGAAAAAAGACTGAATGGCTTTACTGGGTATTAAATGCCTGTTATGTAGCTTTCATATTCAAAGTCCAGAAGATACCACAGATGGTGTAGTGAAAATGATAATCAAACCAATATCCTCTTTTGATCCCTTAGTCACTTATCATCCCAGAAAATTTTTCCGTTTCTTTACAGAGGTATTTTATACAGGTGATAGTATTAGCTTTCTCTTCTGTAGAGAACACAGACACAGCATTCTTCACCTTGCAAACTAATCCCCTATTAGCATTGATGGAACTATCTTTTTAATGACTGCATAGTATTTCAGCGTTACATAATTTGTTTAACTAGTTCCCCACTAATGTGCCATTAGAGTTTTCTCAATCTTTAACTATTTCAAACAATGTTGTAGGTAATATTTTGTCCAACTCTCTTTACTAGTCTTCACTTCCCCTTCTCTAAAGCTTTCATTTATTTATTTCCCCACCCTAGGACCTCTCTAAGGCCTTATCATCATCTGCTATACTATGCTACATCTACTATACTGCTTGTTTTATTGTCAATCCCTACTCCCACCCTGAAGTAGCATGTTACCTCCAAAAGGCAGATTTTTTGTTTGCTCTGTGCTGTAATCATAGCAACTAGAATAAATATTCAATGAGTGAATGGATTTGCATATATAAAACTATGTCAAGGAAAGAACAGTAGATGTAGAATTACTAAAGCAAGAAGAACATGCATTTACAATTTTGACAAATATTGCCATATCAACCTTTTATAGTCGGATGGCTCATCCTTAGCAATTTTGACATTTTTGGGCCTGATAATCCTGTGTTGTGGAGAGCTGTGCATTGTCTGCTGGTTAGCAGCATCTCTGGCCTCTAGCCACTAAGTGCTACTAACCCCCCAGTTGACAACCAAAAATATGTTCAGACATTGCAAATGTCCCCTGTTAAGAAGCACTGCTGCAGATATCATGCTTCCTTAGACTCTCATTGACAGTTATGACAATCATTGTTTCCTATGACCTTGTCAATACCAAGTTGAGCAAACAATTTGGTCTTTGAAATTTGATGATAAAACCTGCTATTTCAGAATTTTAATTCACACATGAAGTCACATTTTAATAAAACGTGGATAATGAATCCTTGCTGTAATGATGACAGTACATTTGGTTTTCCATTGTAGAGGGAACAACTTAGAGTGAATATATGAAATCCAGAATCACCTGGGAAAAAAAGGCTATTTTCATTTCACTTTGTTAAAATATCTAAGTTTCACAAATCCTTTATTTTCTTCAGACTATTGTGCCTTCATGGACTGAATGTTTGTTAGAATTATGTAAAGTTCCCTTAATGAACAAAATTTGGAGTCAAAAGACTCGAATTTGAATGTAGCTTCTCCTAATTACTAGTTGTATTACCCTAGGGAAGTCACATAAACTCTGAACTGCAATTTACTCATATGAAAATCGAGGATATTAACATTTATTCTCTCTACATCACTGAGTTCCTGTAAGTATTGTTTATTTTAGATGTGAAAACTTTCTCAATTGCAGGGGCTTAGGATAATTATTATGAAGGTTTTTATGACCCATTCCTTTATCTTATGACTTATAGTGTCCTTAGAGTTTATCTCCTCTCAGACCTTCAGCAATCCCTTCAAACTGCTCTCACTCATTTATTTGTTAATCATAGGCTTTTTGTACCCTTACCATGTACCTTTACTCCAACTCTCTAGTCTTAAATAGTTATAGTACAATTTTCCTCATAACTCATGGCTCATCTTCCATTAATTCACTCAGTGTACATTAAATGTGCGCCATTATCTGCCCCCAAATTAACTTTACTTTCCAGCAGTGCCATTTTTGTTATTGCCAACATGAGTCTAGTCCTGAGTGTAGGAAATTGGTAGCCATCTTCATTACTTGTACCCTCTGCCCTGTCTATCCTTCCTGCCACTGTCAGACTTTCTTTGATGGATGAGGCCTTCTCCTGCCCCCTTTCTCTGATCATGGACTTATGAGAGTCTCCTTCGGGCTGCCATATCAAATCCAAATAATTTCTCACTGGCACTCCTTGTTAGCCTCGTCAGTCTAGTATCCTGATGATTTTGCTTTCTTTGTGCCAGGCTCATGCCTACAACCATGCTTTTGTTCATAATCTTCTCTGCTCTAGCAATTTATTCATCTTTTTTTCACCCCTCAACCAGTAGCATCTTTAAAGACTTAAGTCATTCCCATTACTCCTTTTCTCAAAGTTTCAGCTTACTCTGATCTCTTTATCACGTAACACTTACTCTTCTTGGCCAGTTTCCCATAATATGTCAGAGTAAATCTCAGTCCTGTTGTACATCAGAACCACCACAGGAGGGTGTGATATATATTTGTTGGTTATATTTATTTTAAATCCTAGAACCACCCTTGGAGAGTCTAAGTGAACTTAGTCATGGAGCGGTTTGAACATTCTTATGGACATTGTGTTCCATTTTCCTTTATCTGACTAAGGATTTATAAATAGTTTGGTGTTGAGAAACTGAAGGTATGTGGTCAGTAATTGATTGACCCAATGCTTGAATATCAAAATGCTTCTTATTCATTTCTGCAGTGCCTACAGTTGTGTACTACATCTTCCCATCTCTTCCTCCATGACTTTGTATAGATTACCTGCTCCTTTTTATACTCATGTAACTCCATATATAAAATGAGACTAACACCTATGTTTCTAAGTATTATGAGAAGTAGCATTCATATACACATCTATCATAGCTAAATAGCTGATATATAGTGGCCACTTGTATTAGTATGGAGTTTAAGTGGCCTCTGTGTTCTCCTGAAGATGTTGGGAACATTTTTTCTTGTGTGCTTTAGGATTTGCCATTATTTTGGCTTGATAGATTTGCGTGTCTATATTACTGTTGGACCACATAGGATATCATGGCCCTGTGGAGTCAGTGTGCAGTTTTTATATCTCCTAAGTCCATTACATTTTCTTTATCAAGGAGCAAAACAAGTGTCAATTTTTTGGCCTGGACTGTTCTCTAATAGGTCATGAGAGAAATGTGCCATTACTGTTTGCTTCTCAAAAATTATAAATTCATGAGTCTTGTTCACATCACCTAACATTGTCAAGCAGCTGTTT